GGGGGCTGGTGTGGCATCATACACCTTGTCAGTTCCGTAATGTGCTAAGCTTTTAACCTTTTCTGGAATTCTTGACTTGAACAATCTCTTAGGAAGTCTATAATGTAACAACTTATATTTTCTTTGATTAATTTACAATTTCTTTCAAAGTTTACTTTTAACATTTGGAATTAGTGCTCTTGGTTTCAAACTATAGTTTAGTAGTCCATATTTCAAACAGGAAAAAAATTAGCATTTATTTTTAAAAAGTTTGAAATGTAAATTTTAGTAGTCTAAATTCTGCCAGTCTATAATGAGAAAAGCAATAATTATTTAAAGAGTTGTTTGAAGTTTTATAATAAAACATTTAAATCCTTTTAGAAACAGTTAAATGAATATTACTGTAATATATTTCAGAAATATTTTCTTAATTTTTAAATTAAAATTATGAAAGTAATAACTGCTCAAAGTAAAAAAGGAACAAAAATATTGAATAGAAAAATTGAAAATGAAAAGTAAAAGAAAAAAAACTCTCATGGTTTCTTGCATAAACTTCTAAGAACATCAGTGTATATCCATGTAGTTGCATGTGTATGCAAGTTTAAGTATGATTTTTAACAAATGACCTCATCCTTGTGTTTTTATATGGTAATTCTTAGACATTACATATGAATGCATACATAAGCATATAATTTGTTCTTCTTAATAACTAGTCTTCCATAATATGTACATACCATAATTTAATCAAATATTCCCTAATGGAGGATACTGAGGTGCTAGAAGTATTTGTGGTATTACAAACTGCTGTGATGAGCACCCTCATACGTATACTTTGTGAACTACTCTAGCATAAAGTCCTTCAAATGGGATTTAGGGTCAAGGGTATGCACATTTAATTTCGGAAGATATAACAAAATTTCCATCTAAAAACACTGCTCCAATTTACATTCCCACAAATATCTAAACTTAGTATGTCATGCACTTTATTACCAGCTTACATGCCAATCTTATATTTTGAAAAATGGCACCTTGTATTGATAAGCATTTTTTTAATTCCACAAATACTTTTAACGACTATAAAAAAGCATCAATGCCTTTAAGTCAATTGAACAAAAGTATATTTAAAAGCTCCAAGAAATTTTCATGTTTTTGAGTCCTCTGAGACCTTAAACATGTATCCCCTGCCAAATTATATGCTGCTTGCACTATATAAATGGTAAATAATTTCTCATAAGCTATCAGATGGCACTGCTATTGTTAAAAACAAAAGCTATGCTCTAAATTGATATGGTACTTCTTGTTACTACCTGCTAACCATCAATAACCCACTAGAAAGAGTCCTATTACATCTTCTGCTCACCAATTTTGTCAAATACTTAGGCTGAAGTAGCAAGAGCTTGCAGTATTTGGTTGGAAGACCATAAATTCAAGGTAATAGTTAAAAAAATGTTACAAAAAATGTATTACTTAAATTATTGGGGGGGGGGAATCATACCCTATTTTAGATAAACATCTGTAATGGCTCCATGTACATTTATGAAAAAAATCCTAATACTGTAATCAATCAGTTTTACAAATGTGCCAGCCAAAAAAGAAGGAAAAACCCAAAATGAATTAAGAAAAGAGGAATCAGCCCAGCTGGTGTGGCTAAGTGGTTGAGCATGGACCCATGCACCAAGAGGTCACTGGTTCAATACCCATCAGGGCACATGCCTGGGGTTGCAGGCTCGATCCCCAGTAGGGGGCGTGCAAAAGGCAGCCGATCGATGTTGATGTTTCTCTCTCATCGATGTTTCTATTTTTCTCTCCCTTTCCCTCTAAAAGTCAGTAAAAATATGTTTTAAAAAAAGAGGAATCAAAAAGTCAATAGCCAGAATAGAAAAGTTAAAGCTACAGCTTATTAAAAGGGAAGCAAGTGATTTAAAAACTAAAAAGCTCTAAACCAACTTTTGAAGTACGCAATTCATATCAGTTAAGCAACAGTTTATTATATATTCTTTAATTTAGTCTCCTTACAATCATAATGATATCTAAAACAAAATCTCAAAATATTCTAGTGTGATGAACACTGCCACATAAGGATGCCTCCTGAGTTTTACAGAGCATGCTGTAATATAGAAAATTAGCGTTAATTTGTTTTAAAAATATATGAGTTGTAAAGTGACTGTCATTCGAACAAACAGATAAAAAGCATGTACTTAAAATGCTATACTTTAGATTACCACTATTCCCTCCACAAATCACTGTAAAAAATCAGTTTAAAAAATGAGAGTGGTATTAACTCATCTGGACTAAGTAAGTGGGAGACGAGAGACTAGTGGATACAGATGTCGATAAACTTTTGAAAGACTGTAAGCTATGATTGAGAAAAGCAGAAAACATGTCAAGGCAGTGAAATGTTGCTATCCCCAAAACACTATTCCTACTTATAAGAACAGGATGACTGATTATTCTAATTGTTACTGACCAACTTGCTCCCTCATGTTTGAAGTATTAACAGTCAGTCAATACAAAGATATTTGGTATGGATTCCCATATACTCCTTTCACCTCAAAAAAACTCTTATACAACAATAAAAAAAATTCTAGAATGGGAAGGGCTCAGTTGATACAGTAGCAGGGACAATATAATTACATAAAGTATTTCACCTAGCCTTCAAACGTACAATCATCTGATTCTCTTTACTAAATTATATTTTCAAATTATCACTGAATTGTGATCACATTTCACATATAATGTTAAAATACATCGAAGGATCTGTTCTAATCACAAACTACTATGTCAGAAAGTTCATTCATCATTCAGGTCCTGAAGTATAAAACAGTTTAAATAATATAATAGTTTATGTGAATTACTTCAATCTAAACCTCACTATATTTTAGTTAGTTAAATTATACTAAAAAACATACTACTCAAGTTTGCAATCAATCAAAAGTAGTAATGCCGTTGTGTTCTTTACATATACATGAAGACTGAAAGATATATACAATTAACCGAAGAAATTCTACCTGCAGCATTTTAAGTGCCTCAAAATCTATTAACAAAAATATTCTTTAAGAGTTNCTCTCAGATTGTATTTGAAAGTAGATCCTAACAGACTGGCTATTGGAGGGGAAAGTAAGAAAAAAGTCAAGGTCAATTTCCAGATTTGAGCCATGAGAGGCTGGAAGGACAGCATTGCCATGTATTCCATTAAGTCATGAAATCAGCAGTGTCATTATTTTGTGTCATTGTGGAAATACATACAAGATAAATGAGAATGAAATTTCTCCCTCAGAGTATACAGTCTGGCAGAAAAAACAGACAAAATACATGCACGTAATTATAATACTTCTTGGTTATTATGATAAGGGGCCTCAGCACAGTACGGTGAAAGCACATAGAGAAGCAGTTATCTCTAGCCAGGGACATGAGGGAAGACATAAAAGTAGAAGGTACATATAAGCCTGGTCTATCGTTCTTGAGTTTGGCATTACATGACTTTAGAACAATAAATAGCATTATATTCACAGGGTTGGAACAATTAGAGTGACCAGGCTGGCAGTAGTTTTTTGGTTCTATTTCAGACCACAGTTATTTATGCACAATTGACCAGAAAAGTCCAAATCAAGTATTTTCCAACCTAGGAGAGTGTGTGCAGGCAAACACACACAACACAGCAGCGCTTTGAATAACTTAGTTACATTCAGCATTGGTTTGTTACAACACTGATGGGATGCTACAGGAACTTAACTCTTATTTATATCAATTAGCCTGTGGTAAAATTGGTTTCTTTACACAGTTAACCCTTAAACAACACAATGTGAACTGCTCAGTTCTACTTATCCATGGATTTTTTTTCAATAAATACATACAGTACTGTGAAGTACTTCCTCTTTCTAAGATTTTCTTAATATTTTCTTTCCTGTAGCTTACTGTATTCTAAGAATTCAGTATATAAAACATATAATATAAAAAATATGTGTTATGCAACTGTTTATATTATAGGTAAGGTTCTTGTCAACAGCAGACTACTAATAGTTAAGTTTTGAGCAAGGCAAAAGTTATATATGGCTTTTCGACTTCACACGTGGTGGACAGGGGTGTCAGTGGCCCTAACGCTTGCATTGTTCAAGGGTTAATTATATCAACATTTCAGAGTTAACAAAGCAGGGAATGTTATTACCTTTGACAGTTGTAATTATCAGTGTATTAAAGAATTCCCTCCAAGTTTTAGTTACAAAAATAAACTTTATATTCTTGTATTATACAAGATGCTGCTTTACTTTTATTCTGAAGATAAACTTTACTTACATGTAAAAGAAACCCATATTTTGCAGTTTGACTGTTTGACAGAACCTAAGAATTAGAAACAAAAGTAGCCTAACATTTAGATGTAGAATGCTAGGCCAGTAAAAACCAATTTCACTATTATAGGAAGAAAACCTTAAATACAGTGTTAAAATATCAATTTCTAAAAAGTTTGAATTCAAAAAAGTAATTCAGTAAATACTACAATAAATCATTTTTTACGTATGTCTTATGCTTAAAGCATTTTATTTGTGCCTCCAAAGAGTATTTTTTAAAACATTACAAAAAAAAACTGAGTTATCGCAACTCTTTTTTTAAAGAATAAGAGATTAATTTAAAGTAGCAGATTTCCTTTAGTTTCTAACATAATTAAACAAGGTTGTAAAAGATTTACAAAAGCAGTCATATTTTTTCAGAAGTATTTCAATAATACTGATAAGTAGTTGATAGTTTAAGTGATATTTCATGTAATAATAAATAAAAAATTTTAGAAAAATATTCATTTCAAAGACATAATCTAAATTTTTACACACTTAAGATATCATTTTGTTTTTAGTTGTAACTGCAAAATAATGCAGAACAATTTTTCATTACAAATAAGTAATAACAATTAAAGGGTAAGACTATGTTTAGGATACACATTAGAAGAAACATGTTAAAATAAATTATAACATAATAAAGAAGAGCTATAAAATGCCCCCCCACAAAAATATAAAAGAAATTGCACTTACATCCATAGCTCTCTTAATAAATGGTATCTGTGTGCCACTGTCCAGATCTTCATTTATAATAAGCCTTCTAGCCCACTGACCTGCCCTGACAACACCACTACCATGAATTAAAACCATCAGTTTCTGTGGATTTGTCAAAGCATCCTCACTCATAAAGATAAAACTCTTTGGTTCACTCTCAGTGGCATCTACCTGTAATTAAAAAAAGTTAAATAATAAATACATGTTTTCTGATCAGGCATAAACAGAAATGAAAAAATAACTAATGGTTACTATAAATTATAAAATGGTTATTACAGAATTATAGAAGTAAAAAAGTTTAAAATGAAATTAAAATATTCATTAGAGATTAACAATTACATATAGAGCGGATGAATACAAAAGACATGATAGTAATTTAAATATAAAAAAATATGAAAAAAGAATATTGGAAATATACGCCTCCCTACATTATTGTTGTATATTAAGTATCATCATATGTAAGAATAACTAATTTTCGAGCACTTCCTATTATCTAGATACTACGCAAAATATTTTTAAAATATTATCTCCATCACAATCACATTAAGGTGGTACTATTACTATACTTATTTATAGATGAAGATATTGAGATCCAGAGAGGTTAAATAACTTGCTGAAGGTCACACAGCTATTAAGTCTATAATTCTATAATAGAAGTTTACTGTAGCTAAGATAGAAAACAGAAAGACCCAATTGGAGGATACACCTATTGGAAAATCATATATTATTCAGAAATACCACTAAGCTTTTAAAAGGTGGGAGAGGGAACTATTTAAAAATTCAAAAATCTACTGTTCTATGTAAGTGGACTTTAAAATTTCATTCAGAGTATGAACACAAGGTTATATAACAATTATTTAATGAGGGAATATTGTTTGCATACTCTTATAATCTTATTTTATGTACTAGTCACCTATGCCATGGAAATTAAATATTTTTATTCATTTTAATTGTACTTCATATTTAGGTTTAAACTAGATGGTGTATGATTTAGATTTGAAAGACTCAAAAGACTTTTAAAAAAGAATGACTCTCCAGTCATTTACTACCCGGGCCATGGCCCGTGCTCAGTGGTATTCCACATCAGCAGTGGCAAGCAACCAGGATGGAGGCCTTTGTGCAGCCTGGTGGCTGGTAACAGACCTTGAATAGAGTGGGTCAACCCACCTGCTAGGTAATGCAACAGTTCTTCCCTTCGTACAGTTATTCATACAGTTATCAAAATAAGAAATTGACAAAAGCTCTAGATACCAAAAAACTCCCTGGATTCCAAACATTCCCAGTCACTATTCCTGGGAAGAGAAAAAAAAATAACATTCCTCTACTTCTAAGACAATCAGATTGGTCTCAGTAACAGATGCTTAGAATTTTTTGTAAACAGAACACAAAGGGCAATTATTTCAGCAAAAAGAGCATGGCCAAAGGGCTTAAGAAAAAATACCACCTTCTCAGTAAAGCCTTCCCCGGCCACCCCATTTAGTAAATACCACCCCAAGAATTCCTTAGTCCCTTTCTCTCTTTTATTTTCCTCCATAGCACATACTACAGTCTAATATACTAGATGCTTTACTTTATATATTTGTTTGTATAACTGTTTATTAACCCTCTGCTCTCTTACCGGAATGTTAGTTTAGGAAGGCACAAACTTTTCTGTTTCTATCTAGCTACATTCAGTGCCTAAAGGAGAGGCTGGGATGTCGTAGGAACTCAGTAAATAAAGGAATGAATAAACTTTGGGAATAAGAAATCTTATCAAGCACCAATGGCTTCCTTTAGATAAAAGGTATTTAACTAAATAATGCATCCTATAACTGGTTATAACTTGCCTGGTTCAGAAAGCATATATTGAATATTAAACTAATATGTAATTATAAAGAATTTAAAAAGAGCTACACAATGCTAAGAAATAAAATGATGTAACTGTCTCTTTATTACGAGTAATTAAGCATGCAGGAAGAGAGATGAAGTGTAGCCGAATGATATTAGCTTCAATTGCAGATGTCCTAGTAAACAAGCTACAGTGACAGCAGGGATGACTGAAGTCACAAGGAGAAGAAGAAGAGAGAACACCAAGTCTAGGTAATTCCAGTGTCCTAAGAACATTACATGAAAACAGAGGAATGACTCAGGTAAAGTGGCTGAAAAAAAGGAAAATGGTGATAATAAAAAGGAAAAAATTAAAAAGCAAAGTTGTCAGTGTGTAAACAAAGAAGAGGCCACAGAAGCTTCTAGTCATTCATTTACCAGAGGGTACCAAACATGCCCAAATCAAAATGCCTCTTAAAGTCAGTGAGGCCTTCATGGGTCCTGGAATGGCTATGGAAATGGCATCTGTTTATCTTAATGAAAAATGCTGTAGCTCTGGCCTTTCCAGGAGGGGCTGATCACGGTTTCTTTTTACTACTTGACTAAATCCAGTTACCAAGGAACTTAGTCAATTTTTTAAGCCATGAAATGTTGGTAATTTAAATCCCACAGTATTCCCTTTAAAATTTGAAGAGTACTTATTTTCAGAAGATAAAAATGTGGTTTTGTAATTATAATGTTCCAAAAATTTTAAGGGGCTATAAATTAGGGTGGCCATGAATAAGTGAATAAAGTTTTACTTAAACATCCCGAAATGTTGACTTCAAAAATATGAGAACATTAGAAAATTCAAGGAAAATTCAGTTGCAAAGAAACTGAACTGAATAATGTAATGGTGCTAATGCTTTAGAAGTAAGGGCAATATCTGGGCTGGTTACTGGCTAATACCATGTCAATTTAACAGAACTCTGACTTTGCAGTTGGTAACCATAACTTACTCATATAAAGCTAATGCTAACTTTCAATAGTAAAATTTCTATATGAATAAAATGGTGTTTTTTTATTAACTAAAGTTTGGAAATGGCTGTTCCAAGTCCATTTATCTTCAAACAATAGTAATCTATTAAGCTGAGTTTTCATTAAGAATACATACATATAAAGGTCATTCCAGTGTACCACCTCCCTTCAAATAAATAAGTAAAAATAAATTATATCAATGACATGGGAAATGGTAGAGGGTAGTCCTTTCAATTGCATTATCATTTTTTAAAAAAAATTGCAATCACTTTTTAAGTTAGGTATTAGTGTTTATTTATCTATACATATTTCATTCCCCCCCCATTACAGTTTAAATTCAACATTATTTTGCATTAGTTTCAGACATACGGCCTAGTGGCCAGACAATCATACACCTTACAAAGTGCTCCCCCTGTCATTTCAAGTACCCACATGGCACCATAAACAATTATAACAATATCACTGGCTATATTCTCCATGCTGTACTTGACATTCCTGTGTCTATTTTGTAGTATACCTCATCTCATTGCACACAGTAGGTCTGAGATGAAGTATACTGACAGGAGTTTAATGTCATCTTTATCAATATCAAAACACTAGGACCTTAACATTTAAACTTATCACAGTTGATAAAAAACAAAAGTTTTCTTCTGAATTAAAAACGATTTTATCTGGAAGTATAAACATTTTTAAAAATTTGACTTACTGGAATAGAGATTTTTTTCAAATTACAGTCCTTTTCCAGGAGCTCATATACATACTTCGTGATGATCTAGGTAGGAAAGAAAGAACACATTAAGATGTAATGTTATTCATTATCAAAATTCACATAAATCATTATCACTTCTTGTTCTGAATGAGTATCTCTCTATTTTGGAATGTTTTTATACTAAATTAAGAGACTCTTTATTAATTATTTGTAATAGATTACTTCCTGTTGCTGTGTGAATAACTATGAACCTTAATACTATGAATTAGGACCTGTTAATATAAACTCATAAACAAGGACTTCCTGTTTTTTAAAGCAATACTCTGTGCGCATGTATTCTGTTTTCAATATTTCTGGAATCTGTTTTCCTTATAAGTTACCTATAGATATTGTATCTAATACAGTATTATTGTGACTCTGAATCCTAACACCTCTTCTATATTCACTGAATCAAGGAGGAAATTGGTTGAACGAATTCTAAACAGAAAAAGAAAATTAATTCAGCAAAGTCAGGCACCAAGTAGTATTACTGTCTGTGGTAGGCAGAAGCATGGCAACCCAAAGATATCCACATCCTAACTTCCAGAACCTGTTAATAGGTTATGTCACATGGTAAAAGAGACTTTGGAGATATGGTTAATGTTAAGAACCCAAGATGAGGAGATTATCCGAGTGGATCCAATTTAATCATATCAATCCTTAAAAGTGGAAGATTATGGAAAAACAGTGTGTCAGAAAGATGCAAAGTGAGAAGGCCCAATTGGCCATCCTGGTTTTGAAGATGGAAGGAAACCCAAGCATCTGAGGAGAAAAGGCTGATTCAGGGCGTGGAGTACAGAAAGTGCAAGATAAGTCAGAAAATAAAATTTTGCACCAAAAAACAAGAAAATACTGAGTGATGAATAAATGTTGAAAGAACACAAAACCTGCTTGATGAGAAGCCGTCTGGCCAAATCTGGAATCATTGAGACATCAAAATAATGACAGCAATGGATTATATAACCCATCAAGTAAGATTAGAATCAATGATTCCATAATTATATAAAGTAAAAAGGAAAGGGAAAAGAAAGCTCTTTCTTACAGCAGAATGCCAACTAATGCATATTGAAGTTAGTTAATCATCAATAGGTGCTAAAATTAATAGGTAGAAGTTAGAAAATCAATAATAGATGCTAAAATTAATAGGTGGAAAGTTTCATAAAGAACATAGTCTCAAGTATTTTATCCCAAGTTACTAAAAATTATAGAGAGTAAAATAATAGTAACTCTATGGTAGGACCTGGCAGACATCACTATATTGGAGCAAACCAAAATTGTGTACTCTTGATATCATGTATGGAGGACAAGATCACATTTAAGGTACTTGTGTCAAAAACACATGAGCTATAGTGGCTGCCCCAGTCTGCATTCCCACCAGCAGTGTACCAGGGCTCCCCTTTCTCCACACCCTCGCCAGCACATGTCGGTTGTTGATTTATTGATGGAGCCATTCTGACAGGTGGGAAGTGATACCTCATTGTGGTTTTAATTTTCATCTCTCTGATGATTAGAGATGTTGAGCATTTTCTCATGTGTCTCTTGGCCATCCGTATGTCCTCTATGGAGAAGTATCTATTCAAGTCCTTTGCCCATTTCTTAATTGGCTTGTTTGTCTTCCTCTTGCTGAGTACTATGAGTTCTTTGTACACTTTGGAAATTAGCCCCTTATCAGATTCATCCTTGGCAAATATGTTTTCCCAGACCGTGGGGTTCCTTTGTATTTTGAGGCTGTTTTCTTTTGCTGTGCAGAAGCTTTTCAGTTCGATGTAGTCCCATATGTTTATTTTTTCTTTTGTTTCTCTTGCCCTAGCAGATGTATCAGTGAAAAGTCCACTACGTGGGATGTCTGTGACTTTACTGCCTATGTTTTCTTCCAGGATTTTTATGGAAAACAGTATGGAGGTTCCTCAAAAAATTAGAAATGGGGCTGCCATTTGGCTCAGTGATTCCACTCCTAGAAATGTATCCTAAGAATCCTGAAACATTCATCAGAAAGAATATATGCACCCCTCTGTTCATAGCAGCACAGTTTACAATAGCTAAGATCTGGAAACAGCCCAAGTGCCCATCAGTAGATGAGTGGATGAAAAAGCTGTGGGACATTCACACCATGGAATACTATGCAGCTGTAAAGAGGAAGGATCTCGT